TGGGGGAGGGTGAGTCAAAACCTGTTTTATTTTGAAAAAAAAGGGGGTGGGGTGGGGGATAATTTAGGACTATAATTTATACTTGTTTGGAGGGTAAAAAAACAAAGTGAGTTGAAAACCTGGTTTTCCTATACTACTATAGATTTGTTGGCTACGTCAAAAGCAAAGCAATAAGCGACAATAAAAAAACAACAACGATAACAAGAGATACGAGGACATTAAACTGAAATGAGGGGAAACAAAATCTTGAAGAAGATCAAGACAGACAGAATATAGATTTTATTTTCAATCGCTTGTAGAAACGGAAGAAACACCGCAGACTGAAAATTGAAACCTGTTTGAATAATATATTTAAAAAAAAACGTATTGGCAGGGGGACTTTTGCTGTTTCTTGCAGAGGTGAGGAGATTTTCCAAAGGAATTACACTGCTTGCTGCTATGTATTAAGGTCAATATTGAAATTGGTTTTATTGTCAACCAAATCAAAAACATTATAAACTAATTCAACGGTGATCATTCAGTGTTAGACTCCTTCCGCTTGAAAATATTTGCCACGTAAGCTTTGTTAATGGAATTTCTGCATAAAAACCTTCTTTCAAATGAATATTGCAACAATGCAATGTTTAGTTGTGAAAGTGACATGTTAGGTTACGTGAACATGGACCGTCTACTGCATTTCAACCAGTATTGCATCAAACAATGTGATATCAGAAGCATTGAACACTGTGTTCAGAAATAATTTTATCTGTGCGAAATGTTCTCTTTATTCGAAATGACCCGTGTTCTTTAACTTGTACACTGTAAGCAAAGTATAATCGTAATGGTAAACGTCAATACTAGTTCAACTTTGTTTGGGACTATTTTTTTACGCACAAAAAAAAATGAAAGGTGCAGATTGAATGAAATTATTCCTTCTTTAAACCTAAAAAATCCACTGAAATAAAAACTATGTGATAAGAAGAATCTCAAATGGATACTTGGGCCTTGACGAGCAAAAGCTGAACATTATTCAACGAGTTTCATAAATTCAATATTAAATCATTATCCATTTGAGATCCTCTATATATAATGTCATTAAGTTGTTTCTTTCTTCATGTTAAGTAAAAAGTGTGTGTATGATTTAGATTTTATAACGTAGCTTTAACAATTTTTCAATCATATCGCTACGATATCTGCATTGTGACTGTTTATACTGATGTCTAGCATTGACACCAGGCCGACTAGTCCTAACACTATCCTCTTAATGCTGAGCTCCTAGCGAGGCAGCTGTTAGTACCATTTTGTAAAGTCTTTTGGTATGACTCAACCGAGGTTCGAACCCGCGACCTCCCGCATCCGAGGCGGACATTCTAACCACTAGGCAATCGGAGAGATTTTAATTAAAAAGAGTTAGCTAGATAAAACGACTGGGTCCATATATGGCGTGATAACTTTCAGTGTCACAGTGACTTATATTTAAATTTAAGCATCGAAATTAAAGTAGGTACAATAAAGGAAAAACCGTGACAAAGTCCAATTACATAAACTGGTATTAACTTATACAATGCTTTTAAACCTCAATAATAACCCAATGAAAAAATTAGCTAATCCTGTTAAATTAACTCACTCAGTTATAAGAGCTAAGTAGATACTAACATACGTACGTCTTTAGACGATACGTATTTGAACGATATAAAGGCAATGAAAGGACAAATTGATAATACGTTAACATTACGGTTCACAGCGGTAAAAAAACGAAGAAATTATGAGAACTACAAAAACAAATTGGTTACAAAACATGAGGATGTGTTTAGAGAAATACATTGGTGGAATGCATCAAAGTTTTGTTGCAACGCGAAGATACAAAATTATACGAAAAACATTAACGTTTTGCCTGTTAAATTTTTCTCAGGTTTAAAAAGAACGTTATATTGCAATCGACAAACTCATTGAGTTTATCTCAGCGATGATATCCACAACAGAAAAGGTAGTCTATCTACATCGTGGCAGCGATTAGAACTGTGAGTTCGTTTCTGCATTATTTCAGACGAATATAATCTTTTACGTCAAGAATGACAAGCGTGAGTCAGGGTTGTTTCCATCTCGATGTTTAATAATGACGTCAAAGATGAAGTGACTACCATTGACGAAAACACAAATGACAACACAGAAGGTAATGGTAATGAATATTTGAAACACAAAATAAAATTAAAATGATTTCAAATAGGAGTTACATTGTGTAAATTACTAACTATAATGCTTTAGTTTGTTTCATTTGCCACATGTTGATAAATTTATTGAATTTTATTTGTGGATTAGTGAAACCCCCAAAAATACATATTTTCCATTACTAAATATTACAATGTTAAATACGAAGAATCATTATAAACCGATTGAATATCGGTATAAAAGTGATCATACACGAGTGATAGACTTTCATAACATGCATGTAATATATGTTTTAAAATTAAGTATATAGTCGAGTTGATACTCAAACACGTACGTGTGTAGAGGGCAATAATTTAAAATATATTAAGACATGGAAAGATAAAGTTAACAATAAAGTAACAACTCTGAAACACAACGTACAAAGATTTACGAAACACGAGAACCATAAAAACAAAGTGATTACAAAAGAAATATATTTTAAATCAAAACCTGTTAAAGCAAATATTCAATACATTGCCAATACTAAAATACTTATAAACAGCCACGCAAACAGTATGAGAGAGAGTACTTTACATACAAATTTGTTTAAAACCAATTATATAAATTATAAACAGAGTTGTATTAAGATAACTGTTTCAAATTGATATAAAAATAATAGACGGCGGGGAAGAGTGATAATAAATGTTGAAAAGAGGTCAGTCTGTCCATCCCAGATTTAGAGTTAGCAAATACAAACGATAAATGATGCATCCTTTTAAGATTGTTACAATAAGCTACAATGTAAGGCTGAGCAATCTAATTAATGTATGATGAGTGATAACGTGCTAATAATATCAGCGATGTAACAGATAGCACTGATACACGAAGCTGAAACGTGTGAAGAAAGACGAATGATTTCAGAAAATGTTTAGAATGTAAACAGAGAGGTTGTTCAACTGAAATATGTGAAAATACAGTCATTCAAAACATAATTTAACACCGACTGAGGATAGAGAATCGTGAATTGTGTTTACGAATGCGTGAAGAATGAGATGTAGCTAATAATTACCAACAAGCGCTAGATAAATATTGCCTCGTGAGTTTTGCAATGTTTCAAATTCTTTATACTCAGATGGTAGTAATTTGACAATTGACGTAAAAGCGTTTGGTTTCAACTGTTGTAGATATAACTAAGTCTGAATTTGGAATATTTATTCGTTACCTAGTAATTATAGGATGGTTGAATATTTTTAGTCTATCACTGCACCTCATACATTAGAAAAGATAAATACCATAAAATGAGTAATGTAATTGTTGGATGTATAGTACGTGAAGGTCATGCATTTGGAATATGCAGCCACCTGTTAATTGACCCAGATGGAACTGAACAAGAAAACTCAAACATACTTAAACATAGAAGCTGCAGATTTGAATAAAAACAACAAGGATCCTGGAAAAATGAAAAGTAAAATATTGAGAGAAGGCTTTACTCCTTTTACAGTGATATCTTCTCAAATTGATGTAAAAATGGAAAATTCAGTCCAAAGTAAACTTAATAACTGTTAGAGAACCTTTAAACGATTTAACAAAATGAAAATAAATGTTTATTGCACTTGTGATATATGTTAGTGTGCATGACCCCTGTTTATCCAAAAGAAAGGATCGTTATAATAGTAAAACAAGCGACAGCGTACAATAATTCATAACAACATGCACAAATACCGGAAGTAGTTAAATAACTCAAGCTACCATCATTGTATTGCATATTTTCCAAGGAGCTTTATACTCGAATAAATGTTATCTATATCGGCTCCAAAGATAACCCAAATATCTTGACTGTGCCAGGTAGTTTCTTTTTTTTGTTTATATGTATAGATGGGGAAAGTCTTTATATAGTGTGGAAAACATTGTAGTAAAAGAAATATATTACCATATTACATCGAGGCAATGAAGTTTTCAAGATGAATGGCAACAATATTCCCATGATATACTAAGGTATACAGTTAACCTGATTTAGTTAACAAGGCGTGATGAATGAAAAATAACTGAGTAAATTACAATCAAGGAGAGAGCTATTAAAAAAGATACAATCTGAAATGTATTGCAGAAAGTTAAGAATAAGTTAACTTAAAAGAAAAATAGTTAAGAAAAAGTTAATTAAGTCTTTCCGATTTTAACAACATTATTCATTATATCATTGTGCTCTTCCACTAGTTTTCAGAGTTAATATTAAACGTGTAAAATGGCATTAAAAGTGGTATAAAGCGTAAACCAAGACAACGAACTAGCACAAATTGTTTCTATAAAGAAATGATTACTTCTGAGTCGATTACACAACTTGTAAATATTTAATACAGAAATAGGCATGCTTTCTTTTGACCACATCACCAGGCATATAATAATTGACAAAGCAGCTAGTAAAACTTGAACAACCCTTATACTTAATATTCCCATAATCAAGTCAGACTTTATATATATATATATATATATATATATATATATATATATATATATATATATATATATATATATATATATATATATATATATATATATATATATATATATATATAAGAAAATTCGCCGAAAGTAATCAGGACAATTTTTCAATTCAGCAATGTAGCAACTATCAATGACAAAGGAAGACCTGCAAAACATAGTTAATGCCCAAGGTTTCGAGTTAAGACACAAATTTGTAGATGCCGCAAGGCGTTTCCTGGATGGACATTACAATTTATATTTTTAGTCAGGCTGGTATAAGAGAGAGAGAGAGAGAGAGAGAGAGAGAGAGAGAGAGAGAGAGAGAGAGAGAGAGAGAGAGAGAGAGAGAGAGAGAGAGAGAGAGAGAGAGAGAGAGAGAGAGAGAGAGAGAGAGAGAGAGAGAGAAAGACTATACTCCATTCCAATTTGTACAGTTCAATTGGTATTTTTAAACAAACACGTATTTATACACGCAAACATTCATATGTATACACTTTACCTATCTCGTTGATCCAAAATATATAAACAAATACTTCCAAATTTACCAGTGTGAAATGAACGATTATTTTTGGTATTTCAGGATCAGTCAGCGCTGCTATCTAAAGAGAGGAATACCCATGTGGTATAATATGTATTGAGGTGTGAAAACATCATTTACTACTTATCGTTACGTACATTTTGAGGTATTTTCTAACCTCATCACAAAAGTCTTTATTAATAAAATATAATAAACGATAACAAATATCATCATCATCATCATCATCATCATCATCATCATCATCATCATCATCATCATCATCATCATCATCATCATCATCATCATCATCATTAGATAGTCGTAATTTACAAAGAAGCTAAACCGAATGAATGTGTTCATACCAGTTAATAATAATAATTCTTACACGTAGAGATTTGGTCTGTGGTAATAAAATACATGCGCAAGCTAAAAATGAAATTAAGTGCAAATGAGCAACAAGTAATATTGAATAACCTTTTCAATAAAATTGATAATTTTTTAGGGATAATTTGGTTAATTCCGAATTTTGCACAAGATTTAATTGGGACAGAATAATTCGATAGAGAGACGAGTATTAAATTATCGCTGGTTCGCGTTACTGTTTCCATTGAAGACAGATTTCCACACTAATTCCTTAAAGTACCAAATATTACGATTAATAATCTGTATAATCTCATTTATCCTTCAATGCAGGCTTTAGAGGCCTTATCGACCTAACAGGCCTTAAAACCGTGCAAAGTATTATTGTCTGGCAAACTGCATGCTGTATACATCTGCATAAACTTGACCAAAGATTGCACAAAGCATAGTACAAGAGTTCGACTGAAGTAATTTAAGCCAACAAACAAAGTAATGATGAGAGAATTTACATTGAAAACTGTTCACTCCAGTACACAGAAGTCTGGTAGTTCTGATTATCAAGCAGTGGAAGAATCACTCGAACAGTGGATGAAATTTGCAGTCATGCCACCGAATAAGATTTTGTTGAGAACCCAAATTATGATGAAAGTTTGTTCCATGTCCTCCTAACCCTCTTTCGCCAGTTTGTAGCTGTCTCGTATAAATTGACTTCTTCCATTTTCCAAAGTAATTGCCATTTGTTAAAATACATTTGTTGATAAGTATTGTCATTGGTTTTTATAATTAATTATATACTTTTCAAGAGATCTGAATTGTATTACCAAGTATAGACATTGTCTTTTATAATTAATTGTATACTTTTCAAGAGATCTGAATTGTATCACCAAGT